TAGGCCTTTCAAAAGCTTCCACCTGATTAAAAGAAGAGGAATCTATATTGGCTGGATGTTGTTGACTCCTGGCCAGCTTTGGTGTCCAAAACCAATACCCGTCAGCCTCTTCTCCCTCCCTATTGGCTCACAGGAGATCGATAGTGAGAAGGCGGCAAGGCCGCAGGCACGGATTGTAGATGAACCTAAACCATTACAAGTGACAGGAGGAAAAGTGAGGATGTGCTGGATGTACAATGGCTGCTTATATTTAGTGGAGATAATATGTTCTGAAGGTCTTTCTTAATAAGTCCCTGAAAACATATTGCATTGTGTGGCACTGTAAATCTTTGCTGGGAACAGATAAAGATTTTTTTTCTTTCTTTAAAAATATATAAAGAAACAAATTCCAAGAGTCCATTAAAAGGTGTATTAATTCTGCATGTCGCAGATGAGAAAAAGTGTGCAGCTGCTTCAGATATTGACTCATTTTCCTCTGTGATTTTTTTTCCTCGTTGTGCGGTGAATATATAACAGGAACGAAGACAGACCAAAGCACGCCAAGGGTGTGGTGGTCGAGGCATGGCCTGCTGTGAACAACAGCTGAAGGTGATGAAACAGCCCTGAAACAGCTTTATAGAAGATGAAATAAATACATAACATACTCAGATGTGACAAAAGGCTTCTCACTCTTGTCTCTCTAATGTCTCCCATCTGAAACCTCATGAAATATCTAAGCATTCATAAAAAGATTTAAAGAAAATCAATGTGGACTAACTTTAACTTTTCTTCTATATATTAAAAGGAAAGCATGTTAAACTGCCCAACTTTACAGCAGACATACAGTAAACATGTTTACAGCCTGGTTCATAACTATTTTTTTGTCTACAGACAATATACTTATTTGTGAAGGGCGAATTTATGAAACACACCTGTGAACTTTACTAAGCTTTGAATTTACTGACAGTTGCCTTCCGATGCATAGCTGAATGATAGGCATTACCTCGGCTAACAGTGCTCTTAGATCCTTTGGTAGCTTTTTAATCCAACTGGCTGACATATAATATGGTTTTTCATATGGTTATTTCTAAAAACCAAACTAAATATGGTCACTTCTGAGTCAAAAAACAATGGAAATGGCCATAAAGCTCAAACTGAGGCCTGGAAATCCATAAACTAATAGACAAAAAGCTATATCTATCTTTTATACACAGTCTGCAAGTTGTTCTCATCAATGCAGTGCTTTAACCTCTTTTGTTTTTTCACAGTTAAGTACCCATAAATGTTTGTTTTTTTTATTTAACGCCAGAATACTTTAGCATATGAAGACTTTGACTCAGTGACGACAACATGGCCAGGTCCTATATCCTTAATACTTTTTTTGACTGAGGGGAACACGGTGCAGTTTGCCCAAGTATGTGTGTGTATTTTTATGTCCATTTAAACCCTTGAATCCACAAGTTTAATTCTACATTAAAGCTGCTTTTCTGTGTCATTACCTCCAAATATAGACTATCGTTTAGAAAAGAAACAGGATTTGCCTCAAGCTGCTTATTTGACACATCACCTCAGGAAGCTATGAATATATACAGCTTCTAGTTAGTGCAGCAGAAGACCAGAAGCTAAAGAAATGGGCTTTACATAAAGGAAGGTTGCTAGTTTGCACCCTCAAAGGAATGGGAGAAATTTGAAATGGTGATTTAAATGAATAAAAAAATATTTAAAACACTTTTTTTCTTTGCTATGAGTAAATGTTGCAACCCTAAATTCAGTGACTGACTGATAACTTTGTATGTAAAATGTTTACACTTTGGGGCCACTTAAGGCACAAAACACAAGACAACCTTATGAGAAAGGCAAAATGATAACCGTGAGATAAATACAGTAAAAACAAATAAAACCAAAAAGGCAGGTGTTCCCTGATTTAAGGCTGTATTAGACAGACAAATATCTGGTGTTATGTCTCATTGTGAGAGAGGCTTTAAGGCCTGCCTTTTAAAAGTTTCACTAACAAAATTGGCCTGGAACAAAAGAAAAGGACAGAGTTGACCTACATCTATCAATCCACCAATCCCTATCCTGTCTTAAAGACCTTATAGTATTATAACAGCCCGCTTCTCTGTCAGGCTGATGGTTTATTTGTGATTCCTGTGGTATTTAAAATTTATATATGCAGTGCAGCCTATGATTTGCTATCATTGTGCAGTCTACTTACGTAAAGCTTGATGCTGTGCCCAAGTTTATTAAATCCAAGTTGCACAGTTTGATTTGGAATAAGTGAAATTTCAGAGCCTGTAGGCATTTCTACTTCTCCAAAGGTTTTGTGTTCCTCATAAAACTTTCCAGATCATTGTCTTTCCTCATTAGTTTAACTGTTACCCAGCTAACCAGCTTCACACCAGGTGGATAGTACACTTTATTGAGTTATTAAGTGCAACTTTATAGCTCACCTCCATGCTTCCTATTTCCAAAGCATCTGCACATTCTTACAGTCTTTCAGTTCAGTATAAGCTACCGCAGTTCAGTATAAGCTACCGCTGTTCAGTATAAGCTACCGCTGTTTTATTAAGACCTGCTTGTCTGTGACCGTCCTCCCCGTTGTCTGGATTGTTTGTCTGATTCTTTCTGTCCCAGAGTTCCAGACTGTCGCCTTGCTTATTGATCACACTGCCTTCAATTCAGCCTACTCTCACTGACTTTTTGCATTTTGTTTTTCTTTCCAGTTATTGAGTAGTTGCAACAAGGTACTGGCTGATAATAAAATTTTATGATGTTTTATCTTTAGTACAAAGTGCTTTTCCGTGGCCTGTGGGCTGAATGTGCCATACCGCTGAAAGAAACTTAGACAAGACTTCATACAAAGAACTGAGCCTGAGAGTCTCTGTCATAGGGCAGTGTGTCTAATCATCAGACCACCCTCTGTTACCGTCAACCCACCCCTGGTCCCTGCAGCAATAAATGCAACGCTTGTGCTTTATGTTGAAGATTAATGGCATCAATCATACTTCCTCATCAGGCCACACGCACATACACATTGCAGACACTGTAATCAGCACTGGCATTTTATTTTTTTTGCAGATTAACGCTCATTTTTTCTTTTCCTTTGGGTTATTCTGTGAGTGAAATGAACTGGCACTGCTTAGAGCCACAAGAGTAATTATTTATTGTCAGGCTCTGCTACTTCCATCTTAGAACTTAGGAACTGTATTTTACTCTGTAGAAGAACATGTGAAATAGTGGGAAGTTTCTTTAAGTTAGGCTAGTTTCATTGACGTAATCCAGAATCACAGAGATGTGAGCCATGGGCAGGACCTGAGCCGCATTCCCCAAAGACATGGAATGAGGATAGACTAGTCATGATTAGTCTAAGCTTATTCCTGGCACCACCATCACACTTTAGAAAACCGGTCTCCAACCCCCGGGCCACGGTACCAGTCTGTGAGTTGTTTGGTACCGGGCCGCGAGAGCTGACGCTCGGGCGGGAAATTTATGTTTTTTATGGGTTTTTGTCGCTTTTTATCATCTGTTATGAATAAATCTTCTTTTTTGGTACCGGTACTAGTTTTATTTTGTTGTATTTATCCGTGACACCTTAAAAGCCAGTCTGTGAAGATATTGTCAGACACAAACCGGTCCGTGGCGCAAAAAAGGTTGGGGGCTGCTACTTTAGAATAAAATTTATGTCATGTATAGGTGACATCAATTATATTACAAATTAATTATATATTAGTGCTAATAGTATTTTTTAGGCTTTCTGCATTGTATTTATTAACTGTATTAAGCCTTTAATGTACATAATATTCACCAGTTGTTTAGAAACCTTATTAACAATAATAGATTTTTGAATGAGAATATGTCAATTTAGTTTCAAGTAAATTTTCAAAGCAGTAATTACTTTTCCCAGCAGCGGATTTATTAATGCTGTTGTGAGCTGCCACCAAGTGGCGCTGATAATGAAGTGCAAGCGGCACAAACGTGCTAACATGAGCCATGACTAATGCTTGGATGATTTCAAAAGTGCTCAAAAAGCTTTCTGACCTTTGCACTTAACAGTCATCAATATGTGGTGCTGACAAGTCGGCTGTCAACATTTGTGGTATATGAAAATAGGCACTGTCTGTTCCTTTACATAGACAGAGAATTTTAAGCCTGTTTGTTTTGTTTGTTGATTTGTTTTCATTTTATAAGATTAGTTTAAATGTAGAAACCATTATAAAACAGCTCTTTAACAACATAAAGTGTCAGCTGTCCTTTACACGCAACACTGATATGCTGCGTGTAGCCCTATCAGCTTTATTTAAAACACACACAGATGTTTCTAGTCCATAAAAGTATAAAAACAGACTCACCACTTCCAGAAGTCATGAAGCTATTACTGGTGTTACTGTCACGCCTCAGATAACAATGTCTGGCTTTCAGCAACCAGACAACCCAGTCAAACAAAGAAGCAGTGCATGAATGCATGAAATGTCTAGGATGGCAGTGTTAGTGGGCTTCTGAAGCTTTCTGGAGCTTTGATTTATAGAAGATGACATCATGGCTGAATATATTCTGTCAAAGTCTAAGGTGGAACATGTGCTGGAAAAGCCTCTTTGTTTTACTTCTGCCATTAAACTGCTTTAAATGTTACTTGTCATAATGAATCCCTGTTAAACTTGCTTTTTCCAATTATTAAATGCTACTGTATGTCGAAAGCAAAATTATTTCCAAGTTGAAAAAACTATTTTAAAAAAGGAGCCTTTTTTTTTTAAATTTTTTATTCATTTGCTTTGAGTTTACTTTAAACACAATCTTTTGCTTTCACACAAGGTCTATTTAAAACACTGAAACAGATACACAGAATGCAACTGCCACCTGTTGTTCCCCCTCCCTTCACTTTTCATCTTTCTTTTTAAATCCATCAACAGCCAAGCTGCTTGCCGTCCTTTGACGTGCCACACATAATCCTTCTGGTGCCAATAAAATGAAACACGATAAAGTCAAGTACAGATATGGAACATCACCGATGGAAACAATATGTGTTCATTTAAATCCTCTTTAATTGTCTTAAGGTGACATAACAAAACAAAATATTCTTTGGTAACAAAAACAAAACAAAACATGGGCTTCTACACTTTTATTTTACACTTTAAGTGCATTGAGTTGTTAAACTGAGTGACTATCAGGTAAAATGCAGCACAGGTGGGATTTATACTTGCTTTTACCTCAAACTAAACTCCAGCAGCTTTTGGGTCAATTTGTCTCCCATTAGGTATTCCACTTTTTCTGTCTAGACAGCTTAACTTTTCCTGCTTTCAGAGGTGATCTCACTGTGCTCCGCCGCCTGTGTCGAACATCTTCTTACGGCCCTCCATACCTGACATGGCCTCCACATTCTTACGCCAGTCGCCTACTTCACTGGTAAGCACCTGAGAATGAAGAGAACCGGGAAAAAAGAAATAAAAATCAGAAAAAAATGTTTTGATACTGAGAAACACAAGAGATTAGGAGCCAAGATGTGAGAGTGGTGATTCTGGTACCTTGTCCTGTTTCACATCCTCTTTCTTCACAGACTTGAGGTTGGCTCTGAGGTCCATTGAACCTTTGTGTTTGGAGCCCAGGAGGGCTCTCATCATCTCGTCTGCTGACACCCTCACTTTTCGCAGGGCAGGCTTTTTGAACTTGCCCCCAAGGTCCTGTACCTTCAGCTTCAGCTCATGGATCTAAAGCATTATGATGCAAAATGTATGAAAAAAACAGAAACAGGAAGAAAAAGCTCACTTTGTCTCCTTATTCTTTAGTTTTTTAGGAGAGTACATAGTGTAAAAGTGCTGCAATAATATTTGAGGAATGTCTTTCTGTTATATTGGCCGGCCTGTTCTGGTTTGACCTAAATATACAGTTAATAGAGAATTTAGCCCCCAATTTCAATGCAGACATTTTACAGATACAAAGGATATGCAGAGGCCTGGAGGATAAAAGAGACTTACATCTTTGTTATGCTTGCTCACTTTGGATTCACAGTCATATCTCTCCTCATCCACAATATCAATTTTTGTATGAAGCTGCTTGCACAGTTCCTAAAAGATCAGATATTGATAACATTAATATTATTATATTTTCTGCTTTACAAAAGCTGGTCTTTTGTGGCTTTAGAGAGCTTACTTGTAGTTCTTGCAGGGACTTTCCAGACAGTTGCAACGGAGGCAACTTTTCTCCTAAATAGCGTACTTTCTCCTCCTCCCTGTCTTGCCTCTCCTTCTCCAAATCCTCACAGGCTCTTGTGAGGAGCAGCATCTGATTGGACACAAATGGGTATCAATCACAGGACGAGGAAGTTTTAGTCTGACCGTGACAAAAATGATAATTTATGTTGGTTTTCATAAACAGTATGTATTATGTTATATGGCAGTGAGTCAAGTGTGCACCAAGAGTTAATGAAACTTGCAGCATGTGCATGGCTCGTCATATTGTTCTTATATAAAATAGTATTAAATTAATATCAAGTTTTGTTGTCATGGGGATATATAGCAAACAAAAAAAGGTGTGTAAAGGCAACTCACTTTGAGGGAGAGCTTGCGAGAAGCCGAAATCTTCGACTTCGGCTGTGGAGAAAGCCAAAGCACAATCAGCTCAGTGATTCTAAATCAAATATTGATTATTTAGGTCTGTAAGGTGATATTTACAGTGTCGAGTACAGTAAATAAAAGGCTAACAAAGTACACTGTATCTTTCAACTAAAATTAAACATTGCACATTGTATGGAAAGACCTGCGAGTGTCAAACTTGACTCCACTTACTGCAGTCACACATAAAAAGATAACGCTTTATTATTAGGATGAAGTCAAGGGGAAAGCTCTCAGGGATGCAGATAACAATTCTGACAGATAACCACTGCCACATCTTTGCCATGTGTGCAAGGACAATGTGTCCCCTGTCCATGCATGGAGGATTAACACTGTGGAATATAGCTGGCTCACCTTTTCCCCTCTGGGATTCATCGTTCTGGATCTGTCGTGCTCCTGAAACAGCAAGCAGGAACACATGAGGACGATGATCTTAAAGGCAACGGCAGGTTTACATGAGTGCATTATCTATTCTTATCCTTTTAGGAAGCGAGCACAACTTTCCCTTAAAAAACATTTTCACAAATATGAACCATACAGCAGGCATAAAAGGAATTTTCTTACCTCACTTCAACTTCTTGAGCAGAAACAAACACATGGAAGAAAAGAAAGTTTATTATTATTAGTATTAGTCATGTTTTGGTGTAATATGTCATCCCATTAAACTACACTGAAAATTAACCATGTATTTACTCCATCATGTTGATCGTCATCCCAAATATTAATTTTTTCATTCTGTATTTTTTACAGTTTAACTAATGACAGCTCAGCACATTTGTTAAGCGAATACATCAGCTGCAACATTTGTTCTGACAAAAAAAAGCAAAGCCAGACAGCAGCAGCTGCACACAGATTTTTAAGATCAGCTCTTTGTTAGGTTGACAGCATTTATGTACAAGTATGTACACATTACTATATTGTACAGCTTTAACCAAAACAACACTGGCTAAGCACTGTCTTATTGTCTACAAAATCTATTTACTTTTTATATTTTCTGCTCTAATCTTGTAAGAAAATTTAAATTATATTAGTGCCTTCTTGTTAGTCACTCTGGCAATATTCTGAGAAACCTTAACTAGGTAAAACACACAATATAGCATCTGTTCTTTTACCTGTAAATGAGCGTCTGTGGAGGTGAAGAGAGTCAAACAGCAGCTGCTGAAGACAATGGGCAGCTTTTTATGTGGGGTTGATGGCGAGTGGACAGCAGATATAACGTCTGGTCCCAAGAATGTGCTGGCAAGAGACCAAGCACTAAATATCACCTCCCCTGACACTGACAACACAAGGAAAGTGTAATAATAAATCCGTAGCATTGCCTTAATGGTATTGTCTAGAGATCAGCATTTGAAATGTTATCATTTTTCCCAATTGGAATAATTGGAAAAATTCACAAGCTGATATATTAGTAACAAATATTGTCATTATTATAAGTTCTCATAAAAAGGACATTCGAAAGCTTGCCAATTCTTCTATGTTGGTGAAGCCAGTAGCTATATAACCTAAGCAATTACATCAATTCATTATAGCTAAAGAGATTCTCTCAGTAATAAATATGCTGTTTATGAGAAACCTAAAGCCTTTACTGGGGCTAGCCAATGCAGACAATCATACTCTAAGAATAGATCAGGCCTCTTCACCATTGTACTCTGCTTTTAACCGAGTTAGCTGTGTCAACACATGCGGTAAGGTTTACTGCAGGTACAGTGAAAAAACAGAGTTTAATTCATTTTTTTCTTTTTACAGACAGTTGCAAAGAATCTGGGGTTTTCTTATCCAAGGTCTTTACATGACTAAACGGTTTACAGACTCCAGAGAAATCTCTGTGCGTATGACTGTATGAGCTCAGGAACACTTCTAAAAGCTTTGTAGAAAGCAAAAATCACTGCAAGCACAAATGGTCAAGACCTTGTTAATGCTGGATACAGCTTTCAAAGCAACATGCTGTCCTTTAAAATTTTCAGGAAATGGAAACAGGAAGTTGGTAAAGACAGGAAAAATCTGCTGTGTGACAAGGCATGTAACAGCCATTCATCTCCTGGGGTGAAATGAGCATCTTGGTGTAGAAAAGTCAGAGTTTCAAAATATTTGTTGTTTCATTTTAGGGTCATTTTTCAGTGACATTTGAAAAAATGACAAATTCTTTCTGTGAGAATTACCAAAACAGTCAAAGAAATCCCAACAGTGCACACTCTTTAAATAAACGACATTAAAAAGCAAGGCAGTTGCTCAAAGCTGAAGAAGGCTCATATACAAAGATTTCAAAACACAAACATCTACTGTCAACAATTCTTTGGCACGACTTTACAAAGACTCCAGAGTATGAGCGCTAATCTTGACCTGAGCGCTGACTCTTCTTGCAAATCACTTAACCCCTGAGCATCAAGTTTCTAATCTTTCCAGTGGCTTATACTGGAATAAAACTGATGCAAGCGCTAAGGTGTTTTTGGTAAACTGAGCATTAGCTACAAAGGGCATCTTCATACAGAGCCACATGTTACATGGAACAGTCAATGCTCGTTTGCTCTCTTGAGGGCTTCTCACAGATTAGAAATCATTGTGAAAATTAGTGAGAATATCTGTCAGCTAAAAGATGAGCCTGTCAGACATGGTTCCTTCTGACCCTACTTGACTTCACTGTAACGCCATTATAGACCGACCACATAATACCATTCAAGTTTAGCATCACGGATGAGTTTTGCATTCTGTGGCTTCAAGAGCAGTGCATTCAGCAGCTCTTAAGTTCAAGATAGAGTATTAAATATTCATTGCTAGAAATCTGAAGATTGCTTGCCAGTATTATTGTTCAGTTTGTTACATCTCAAACTTCTTTGTCTTTGCAATTTTTTAATTAAATCAATATATATCTTACGTGGGCTTGTATTTGAATCATTTTAGCTCAATAATTTCCATTAAATTCATAGACAACATAACTCTAAGAGCTTGGGTTTTTTTGTGCCAGTAAATATTCTTATGGCATACACTACCAACTTATCTGTCATATTAGCAGTACACTGCTTTCAGCGGTGGGCAAGCTAAAGAGACAATACCTCAGTGTGTAACGAGTGTCAGTAAAAGGAAGAAGATGAAGGGGACAACAAATGTTCTGTCATATTTTTTTTCCAGTGATCCTCAGCAGGTGGGAGCGCTATTTCTGATGCAACCCAACTCCCTCCTGTCTTTGCACAGGCACACGGGCACCCAAAAAGAAAAACTAGGCAGGCCTTGGTATCGGGGAACTGCTTGTAATGCACTTTCTATTGGTGCTGCTTTCACAAATAGGTCAGTTACTTTTGGGCTTAAAGGAAAGAACAAATGGAAAATTATTTTTTTGAATTTAAAGAAGATATTTAAAGTTTTATTTTGCATTTGTTGTATTTGTCATTATAGTCCACCTGAACCCATGGTCATGACATAACAAGTTAAGTTATCGTGTGTATTGTGTATCAAATGTACTACTTTTTAGGAAAAACAAAATGAAAGTAATTTTTTTTTCATTTACAGCCCTAAAGTACAACTTTGAGTTATTTTAATAATCATGTATTAAACTTGAGCATCAGAATGAGGGAATACCATTTAAGTGACTTTGACCGTGGTTATTGGCGCCAGATGGTCTGGTCTGACTATTTCAGAAACTGCTGATTTTCCCCACATGAACCTCTCTAGGGTTTCCAGAGGGTGTGTCAAAAACAGGCACATAAAAAAACAGGAAATGAAGAACAGTCCACTAGAAAAAAATGCTTTCTTAATACTAGATGTCAGAAGATAATGCGCAGACTTTTCAAGCCATAATGACAGTACCTCAAATAACCGCTTGTTACAACCAAGGTATGCAGAAGAGCTTATCTGAAGGCACAAACACTTCAAACCTTGAAACAGATGGGCTACAGCAATAGAAAAACCACACTGTTGTCAGTTAGGAACACAAAACGGAGGGCACAGTTTACACAGTTTACATTGACCCCACCAAAACTGGTTAATAGAAGATTGGAAAAAATGTTTGAGTTTGTGGGGTCAGATTTTGACATAAACTGCATGCCAGTATGAAACCACCCTGCCCTTTATCAATTGTTCAGACTGGAGGTGGAGATGTAATCGTCCTGGGACTTTGGGTGTGTTCGTGTCAAATGAGCATTATTTGAATGCCCCAGCCCTCCTGACTATTTTTGCTGACCATGCCTCCACAGTCACCAGATTTCAATCCAAAAGAACGCCTTTGGGATGTCGTGGATGAGCAGGCTCACATCATGGACGTGTACGGCTCACGAATCTGCAGCAGTTGTGTGATGCTATCACATCACTATCACATCACTTCCCTTATCAAGGGAAACTTTTGTGAGGCTCTTTTTTCTTTCTTGTGTATTTTTAGTATCTTTTTTTAATATATAAGTGCCTTATCTTGAGTTCCCTTATAAGTATCTCATAACTGGCAGGGTCAAAGAGGCATCCTGAGAGAAAGCACAGCTGGAAGCAAAGTTAAAAAATTCAAGTTACTGAAAATCTGGTATGCCTACGCCCACACACCGGATTATTCTGGGGGGGATAAAGCAGTTACATAGCGAAGGTTCACACAGGAGGTTATACTGCAGCTGCAGTCCAACTCAAAAGAAAAATCCTGGGCACATGGCAAAAAGGGGACTTTTTTGTTGTAAAGCAATCGTCTGAAGATGGTTAAGTCAGGATTAAAATGAGATCGCAAAGTGGCTTTAGTGTGGCGTTGAGGTGTGGTAATCTCACAGCTGCACCAGCGTCTCATGTGAAATCCTATTTCGCTTGTGCAGGAGATGTCCGGCAGGGGGAGACAGCGATTCACATCAGAGAAGATGGTTGCTTTTACGCGTCAGTCATTGACAAGTCAGCGGTAATACAGACGTGACTCTGAAGCAGGATCTTTAAAATAAAGACTCTCACTCAAGAAACTTGGAGAAATATGTTGAAATATGCTGTAAAAGAAAAGTCAAAAGATTTAAAAAAATGTACAGGTAATATTATAAACAGTCACTTGTCACAGTAGGACTGTAAATTACTTAGCAGAAGCCTTTCAGTGAATATTACAGTAGCATGTGGATGCTGTGCCTTTTACTTTATGAAATCAATCATCAAGATAGTGCCTAATAATCGAAAAATGTTTCAAGGCAAGTCCAAAGAAGAAAGAGAAGCGCTGATGGCTAAACTTGGTACAGCAAACTTTGGAGTCGCACGCTCCGCTGAGGTTCCAGCTCCTTGAGATAAGAAGTCTTCTTTGGATTTTGATGTGTTTATCTGCTCTTTAAGCCAGAATGTTTAACATTAAGCTTGACAGTTAACATTTTAGTGTTAAAAGGACAGTACCTTCAGCTTCACCTTCTTATATGGGATTAGAATAGCATATTTTTTCATGTAAAATAGATTAAGACCTGTAACTGCTATCATAACAGATACAAGATTACACAATATGCTCTAAGGCATGTGTTTTATGGCACTGCTTTATCGACACATTTGCAAATTTAAGATTTGAATTTATTCCCCCTTTTTATTGACATTATGTGAGTGTGTTATATGGTCTGGCAGAATGCACTGCACGCCTAGAAGCATTATAATCTTATAATATTCCATGTGCTCCTCGGTTGCATGTTTGCACATAAAAACATCAAAAGCCTTTGCTCAGCATGCTCTACAGTGCGGCATGCGTAAATATACTGTTAAATATTTAGTCAGGACTAAACCAAAGTTGATTTTGCTTTATATATTTGTAGATTTGTAGAGAGAGAAACAGTAAGAAGATTTGTTGGAACATTTTAAAGGGCAAAAAGGAACTTCCAGCAAGAGGAGAAAATCTACTACAAAGGTTGCATTACAACGACAGAGGCCATAAAACCATTAAAAAAGGGTTATGTGATTAACTTATATAACATCTACTGTTTGGGTTATCCCTAAATAAACATGACGTGCTAGAAGAGCTATTTATCCATGATTTTATCTATATGTTGTGTTAGAGCAGATACTTTAATAAAATAATTTCAATAAAATTCAAACCTAAATTGTGTTCAGGTCCTTCTCAGCTTGCTAGGTGCAGGGGAAAAGTGGACAAGCGTGAGCCGTAAGGATCGCGTGTGCTTTTATTTTGAAAGCCGTTTTCCGTTGTCGCACGAGGTACTATTGGCATTGATGCGCCTCCGACTGCACAAGAAGCACTTTGTCTGAGGGGAAAGAGGTGAGGGAGGGGGCGGTGTCGATAGAAGAAAGACGGGGAGGTGGAGGGGAGCTGAGTCGGAATTAGCTGGTTAACTTGCACCGCAGACCCCCAGTCCAGGATCTGGGCGATAACGCGCGGTGATCGTGGTCGTGGGGGTCGAGAGAGATCCAGGTGGAAAGGAGTGGGACATACAGAATCGGGATGCAGCAGGACGCGGGGTTTGGAGGGAACACGCGTGCCTCCTCACGAACCGCGCGCTGTAATGGAGATGGTGATGCACCAAGAACAGAACAGCAGATTCCTGCAGAGCCACACACGCTGCCCCACAGCCCCGCGACCCAGCGCCAGCCGTTGCAGGGATAGACGCTGCTCGCTGTTAAAACCTCGCCAAGAAAAAAACGGATTTCCAAACTGATGCTCGAGCCAAACAACTGGATAACAGACTACCTTGCTCCTCCATTCATACCCCCACCGCGTCTGCGGGATGAGACGGGGATTCGGGACGAACAGAGAGACCTGCTTTGAAAAGACTGCGTTTCACACCACAGGCTTCGCTCTGCTGGTGGTTTTGAGAAACAGATAAGAAAAAAAAGAGAGGGATAGAGGGAAAATAAAATAAAAGGGAAAGATGTTTCTGCGATGCTACCGCGCCAAATTGTCGGCTTGGGCCGCTCTGTGCGTGCTGGTGCTTTGCTGGTTTTACGTTTTCCCTGTCTACAGACTGCCGAGCGATAAAGAAATAGTGGAGGAGGTGCTGAGGCAGGGGGAAGACTGGCAGAAGAACCAGACCGGCATCGATTTGTACAGGTTCGACTCAGAGCTCTGAATTTCCTTTAATAAGCTTCAAGCTGTGATTGGCAGTGTGTGCCCCCCCCCCCCTTGGATTTAAGTGTGTTTCAAGAGAAGATGAAATGATTAATAATAATTTTAAGGCTTATTGCTGAATGTAACAGATTCCCAGGAAAAAATAGGCCTCTAATTTCAGTTTCAATTTCGTAATTAATACATGCTTTTAATATTTTGGTGCTTTAAGACCAACAATTATGACAAACAAAACCATAATTCTAAAGGGAGTAATTCTAGTGTATTACAGTAGTGTCTCAGCCATAAAGATGACCACAGACAAAGCAAAAACAGAGCTCTGAGTGTGTTAGTTACACAGTAGCAGCTTTATTTATATCTTATTAAACATTCTCAGAGGCAAAGCTGATTACAGGGTAATCAGAGAAAGTGACCCCTGAAGAGCACGCCTGCTGGAGGATGTGATGCTCACTTGGAGCTGGGTTGTTTCTGTGGTTCTCTTTTAATGGAGCTATAAAGACCTTTTATAGGTTGATGACTTAGATTTGCTTGCTTCTTGGGAATTAACAGATGGGAGAAAAGGCAGTTTAAAATTAGCTTGATGTAATGATGTAATATAGTTAAAGTATCTAATTTAGTTTAGTCACCAAAATTGGTGTTTCCTCCTTTCTCCACAGGAAGCTGCTGTCAGAATGCTGCGATCCGAAGCGGATGTTTGCAGTGACCAAGGAGAACTCCCCTGTGGGCAAAGTCCTGTGGTACGATGGCGAGTTTTACTACTCGCACACCGTCAACAACAACACGTACTCTCTCTTTGTACAGGTATACTGATAAGTAACGCTCTTATGTTTCTCAGAAAATAGTGCTGTGTGAGTTGCTGTGACGGTCAGTTCACATACGAGTCCTTCCTCTGGGTTTTATTGTGGGGTTTTGACTTTCCCACATCTAGAGATGCATGTTTTTAAGACCGGCAGCTGTGTCTTTGAGATGTGACTGAGACCAAATAACTGAAAATTGATTTCTGTCCTACCCGGTGCATTACAGATGTGTTGTGGTGACTGTGTTAGTGTGAAATCTAGCTGATCCATAATGGAGGAGGGGAGAGGATTACAGGTCTACAGCTCTTAGTGTGGACAGGAGTCGATATGAAGATGTGACGGGATTAGTGGTTTGGGGCAACTTGAAAGCTGAAAAAGATAATACAGTTAGTTATTCCCTGCAATTTCCTTTTTAGCTTTTTTTTAAACATTAAAAAGGCTCCTGCTCTGACCTTTTATAACACTCAACTATATAAGTCTTGTTCTGGTTTTCTTTCTCCACTTAAGTCTAGGACAGTGTTGTTGCGACACTACTTAAAACTGGAAAGGGGCGTGGCTTCAAGGTCTTTCTTCTTTGCTCTATTTTCACTTAGGAAAAAAAGAAAGAGGGTTTTTTGTGTTCATGAGTAGAAGCAGCAACGAAAGGGGAGCTATAGGTGTAAGTGCTGTTGCTGTGTTTACCGTATTGAGTTCTTTCTCTGAGGCTTTAGATCTGCAGTCAAATATCCTTCTTGGTACATGTGATGAATATTTTACCCTAATTTCCAGGCATGAGCTGTGCATGTTCTTTCATGAAGGACAGGGGGAGGTGAGTGTGAATAATTAAATAAAATGACCAACCTAGGCACTTGTGTGTGTTTGCATTTGCATTTAATTTATTGGTTTAAACATAGACTTACTGTCACCGGACACTTTATTAGGTACAGTTTGTTAGTACTAGCGTGAACTGCCTTAATTATTTGTGTATAATATATTTAACACGGTACAGGTAACATTCATCAGAGATTTCTATCCTTATTGACATGACAGTATCACACAGTTGCTGTATATTTATGTGCTGCACATCTATGACGAGATTCATCCAGTCCTCCACGTGCAGAGTGCTCTGATGCATTGAGATCTGGTGACTGTGGAGGATATTTCAGGACAGTGAACTTATTGTTATGTTCAAGAAGCCAGATTGTATTTTATTGAACTTTGTGAGAAGGTTCATCCTGCTGAAAGCGGCTATTAGAAGATGGATACACTATAGTCATAAAGGAATGGACATGGCCAGCAACAATACTTGGGTAGGGTGTGGCCGTAAATGATCCTCAGTTGATACAAAGGGGGCCTAGAGCGTGCCCATAAAACGTCCCTCACACCATTACGTCACCACCACCAGCCTAAACTGATTTTGTTGCTACAAGCAGAATGAATTCATGCTTTCATGTTTATGCCTAATTCTGAGCCTGCCATAGTGTTGACATGCTTCACGGTCTGGTTTCAAATTGCGAAATAAAAACCACATTGATATCAAATCGTGTCGGAAGAATTGTGATCGTATCGTAGTGTTTCTGGGGATTCCCACCTTTAGTACATGAGCAATTGTGAATTACTCAAACCAGCTTTTCTGACACCAACAACCATGCCATGTTTAAAGACACTTAAGTCACCCTATTTCACTATTTAGTTTGACCAATGAGTTGTTGTCATGCGATTGACTGATTAGATATTTGTGTTCACAAGCAGTTGACTGTACTACATGCTGCAACAACGCGATTTCAATGCAGATAAATCACTTGCAAATGTAAAAGAAAATGTTGAGCTAAAGAGAGAGATATCATCTGCGCATAGCAGTAGATTGCATACTTCACCTCTCCTATTTCCTGTTTAGCAGAATCTATGCATCTTTGCTCCACGTAATGCTCTAAACTCAGACTACATTGCTTTATCCAAATTAAATCTGGCACTGTGATTTCATTTGTGGAGATGAACCTGCAGCTGTTTACACAACCAATTACAGGAACTATTTCTTAAGCAACAGTGGCACAGAAAGACAGGATCCTGTTTTTCAAATATAGATATGCTGGTTTTCTTTTCTTTTTTTTAGATGATGGCAAAATAAATGTATGTGTTTTGGACAAATCAAGCAGTTTGCAAGACCTCGCCTTTTGTTTTGGTGATGTGTCAACTATAATCCAAATCACTGTTTATTTATTTTTATTTTTTAATTCTAATGGAACTATATACCTTGGTTTTGAGATTTCCAAAACAGCCCCGTTTTCAATTAAGTATACTGGGAGCGTTGCTTTGTTTCTTACATTGAGAGCAGGAGTCTCAATCTCAGATGAGCTGGGGTCGTTTCATTGGAGGCCCACGGTAGTGTTCGAAGACTACAAAAAAAACCCCACAACGCTGAGTTTTACACAGTTCAGTCTCATAGGCTGTTGTGATGAGCTGTCCGGGATCCTGTAGATCTAGGTTCAGGATTTTTAGCTCCTGTGTCATGTCTACAAGGAATGCCAAATCCATTATCCATTTTGGATCATTGATCTCAGGAACATCCAGTCTTCCAATTTCCATGAAACGCTTCACCATGAAATACATCACTTCAGCTCTTAACTTAAAAAAATCTTTTTAACACGTTTCCCCTGCTGAGCCAACGCACTTCTTTAAATTGCAGTACATACAGTGCCTTAGTTTGTTCTCAAAATGCTCAGAATTGGCAGTGTTTTTACACATTTCAGGAGAACAGACGTGGTATGTTTACATGTCGAGCATTTGCTGCATGTTGATGTATAATGCAGTGCAGAACCACTGTTGGATCTCCATTTTCCTTCTCTACGTTTCTCAGTACCAGTGCCAATGCCAGTGGTAATGCACTTCATACCAAGTCACTCAATAATAATACACAGCTGCTGAAATCATACTTTAGCTTTGGTCTGGCCGGACAGGGGACACAAACCTAGCAACTTTTTTTCTCACCTCAAACTTGTCGATAACGCTTCGATGAAAACTGCAAATCTGCTTGTTGCACATTGAATAAGCTCTTTTTTCAGGGCATAGGAGACCAGCAACTCACAACATGCAAAGAGAGCAAAAAAAAAATCTAAAATGAGGTTTTCAGCTGATATTCTTTAGATGTACAGATAGTGTGTTAGAGTCTTATTACAGGCAAAGATGATGGAGTAGTTTATGACATTTTCTGCAATGTATATTGTGTATATGTATGTATATTAAACCAGTTTTCCACTTCATGTACTTGTTAATCGACATGTGTGGCAGACAGTGCTCAGAACACTGTAAACAGTGGCGCTGAACATTATTTCCATTAGAAAACAGTGCAATAAGGTAACACGGTGGGTTTTGTGTTTTTAAGTGAACTGACTCTATAGTGACTGTTTTGCCCAACATTTCTTTTATTCCAAGTGTGTTTTTCTGACTAAATACTATGATTAGGTCTTTATATTCTATGTGTCATCTTTTCATTTCCCTGCTCCTCTCTAGAGCCATGTCCTTGTGTCCATTGCATATTTTTATGGGGACCGTTTCACTTCCTTAAACCTATATTGTGGCTAGTTATGGTTCCCAGTAAAAAGACAACTGATAGTTTGGTGGGATGTACTGTGCTCAAATTCAAACACACAAGCACTCCCTTCTTCTCAACTCCCATTGCTGTGATTGCAGGTCTGAATGCCGACAAGCAGCCACGCTGCACCAAGCTGGCAGCAGCTACAGTATCTGGGCATGTGCCAGGGAATGTGCCAATTAGGGCTTTGACAGTTAATTGCTGGTTAGTTCAGTGACTGAAACAGAGCATATATACATACAGCTCAGTGAACTGAGCAGTAGAGTCCTATAATCTTTTTTTTTATGTTTACTTAGTGATGTCTTTCCTTTTCTCTAGACCTTTGACAGCGTATGGAGCACAACTGACTGAGTGAAAAATCTTATATGCACATTATAACACCAAAAAATAGAACAGAAGTCCAACACTAACTACTTAAACATGTTTTCTCTTTTATATCATGTTAAATTTGTCTTTTCAGTCAGTTGGATAAATCAGGTCAACTTAACAAGCCAAAGAAAAGATATGTCCACGTATTAGTAAAAGATTTGGTTTAATGTAAGTAGTTGGTGCTGTTGCTAAAGAAACAAGTGTCTTCCTTTAGAGCTTTACAGCTTTAGCTTGTTTTTCTGGTTCCTGTCCTCTTCTTGGTTTGCTGTTAAAGGTCTAAAAGAGACTCTTAAGGGCAAAGAGTCTGTGTTTGCGTCTCTATACGTGTGTGTGTGTGTGTGTGTGTGTGTGTGTGTGTGTGTGTGTGTGTGTGTGTGTGTGTGTGTGTGTGTGTGTGTGTGTGTGTGCCTCAAGCGGGTGCACTCTGAGGGGAATAATGAGAACAATTGTTTCCACTGTCTCGCTTAATCCATTCCCTTGAGTTAAATGCAGTCAATGCACAAAGAGAGGACATTTCTTTTGGGTGGTGTTTCAGTGTCTTCTGCAGCAGCTTTAATCCTGTCCTTAATAAGTTTTCAGCTGTGGTGATGGTAAGATAATGATTCACTGCAACAAAATTGATTACTGGTAGTGACTGGTAATTTTTGTTGTCACTTCCTTGTTGGTTGTTTATTTCAAATGGACTACAGTAAAGTGGAAAACGGAAGATTTTAAAGTAGAAATTTTTGGGGGGGGGACATGGACACCATATCCTCTAGATTAAAAAGGAGAGGGGCTGTGAGGTGTATTGTCAGCGCTCACCTAAAAAGTCTGCATCTCTGTTGATATGGAGGTGCTTTAGTGGAAATGGTTCCCTGGAAAAGGCACCAGCAATGTTGAAAGGTATATACAGGTTAGCGCAGTGCTCTCCATCAACTGGAATATTGGTGATGTGATCCTTGGCTGCTCCAGTCTGCATGCCAAGATACTGATTCATAATTTGATCTGTGATGCATTTATCAGAAAGTAGGAATATGTGTGTCATCACAGTGTGCGTGTTAGAAAGCACTTAGACAAAAGTGCTTATGTGAATGGCTGAATGAGTGAATGAGGCATGTTGTGTAAAGCAGCGGACCCCAACCCCCAGGTTGTTTGGTACTGGGCCGCAAGAGTTGAGGCTGGGGTGCGAAATTCATGGTTTATTGGTTTCAATGTGCTTTACATATAGAGATGCTTTTTGGCATACTGTAGTTGTAACAAGTGATTATTGAGTTACTGTTGCTGTCATATCAGCTTAAAATCTGGCCATTATCGTTGGATCTCTGGCATCAACAAGGCATTTTCGCTGAGAACTCCTGTCATGCAGTGGTTGTATGGAAAAATCTCCATAGATCAGCAGTTTCTGAAATTCTCTTGCACCAACAACCATGCCACGTTTAAAGTCCTGGATAATACACAGAAACTGTGTATGATCCATCTCTATTACATTAGCCTGCCTCAACTCTTCTTATCACTTTGCTGGTTTTGTCGGTCAGCACCCGGGGGCTATAAAGGCACATTAGCACTAGGCCCGGGGTGTTACATCATGTGTTTAGGAGCTAGTGGCTGTGTGCATTCTAACAAAGCTTAATGTTGTCTCCTGTGCAGGAAAACCCTTTGCAGCTTCCCCTGAAGAAGTGTGCGGTGGTGGGCAATGGCGGCATTCTCAGACACAGCAAGTGTGGCAGGGATATCGACCAGGCCGACTTTGTTATGAGGTAAGAAACAAAAAACTCTCCAAATTTGAATCAGCAGTTCCTCAGAGACCTGCTAGATACCATCAGTGATTATAAGAGCTGGTGTCGATTTCAACAAAGAAGGAAGAACAGAGACAGAAAAATGGGCCACAGTGAGGATGAGAAAGAAAAGAGGTTAAGCAGGAAAAAAAACATCTGATGGGGTATGTCAGATATTTATCTTCTGTTGTGTTATACTAGGACTATCGATTGTATTTTATAAACAAGCTGATTGTCTTGGCATTTTTAAAAAGTAATCAAAGACTTGAGACTGAGGAGGAGACCAGGGGGGGAAAGGTACATTTTCATCAGTTATAAGGGCAGTAGAAGTTCAAGTTGAAGAACTAATGTACCATCAACAGTCAACAGACCTCGTGCATGCAGAAAAATGCATGACATATGCATTTCAACTAAAGGATGACCTTTGAGAGCGCCAGGAAATAGTGAATACTTCTGGATAAACACTTGATACAAGCTGCATTTGCACAAACGTCTTTTAATTCGTGGTAACTGACGTATTCTGGCTAGGTATGTGTCAGTCTAAACACAAAGCACAGCTGATTGTCCGCCTCGAGAAAACACAACAGAGCATTTTTTTTGCTTTGAGCGACAGTGAAGTGAAACTGTTTCTGTCTTATGTTTAAATTAGGTTTTCTGTATAATGTTGAGTATGTGTTTTTTGTCTGTGTGGTTAGTGGTTATCTTTTGAGTCACCTTCTAAATTTACTTTGACTGTTGGCCCTATTCCAGGAAGAAGGTTTAGGTAACAGCTGTATGTCTGTTGAGCTGTCTGTTAGCTTTGAGTTTTCTCTTCCAGAAAGAGAGTTAACTTAAAGGTACAGTAAGCATTTTTGAGTTTAATTAATAGAAAAAAAAATACTCTACTCATAAATATTCATTGATCCATTGTGCAATTACATCTTCCAACAAATCATGTATTTGCATAAACTTAGATTTCTGTCCATTAAAAATAATAGGAGCGTCCCCCGATTTGTGGAAGCCACCATGTTGCCCCACCGTTTTGATTGCTGTGGCGAAGATGAACATAACTGTTCCACCTAATTGCATTTTACTTCTGTGTCTAGAAACCAGCCACATACATTTTACTCTCAACAAGCAGCGGGTGCTGTAACGCAGTCAGTTCTTCTTTTACTCTTTTACTCTTATGCTGTTTTGTGGATCACAAGGTTTAAAACTACTTATAAACACACACACACAAAGTAACTCTCCCAGAGTGCCAATTTCGGGTCACTTTTGCTGGTCCAAGCCCGGGTAAAGGAGCAGGGCTGGAATTGTGACATTAAAAAAAAACAATAATTGCTAAAAGAAATTTAATTTATAGTTCTAAATAAATTCTAAATGCATTTAGGACGTTTTTTACTCACTTTATATCTCTTCCACGATGTTATTTCTCTCTCCAACAACATAGGTTACAATTAGATTAGCATGACCAATTATGCAAATTAGGTGATGACGTCTTTTAGCGACTTCTAGCGACTTTTAGGACAGCCAATAGCGATTTTCCTTACTGAGGAGTTGGCAACACTGATCATGATCTCTTTGTCATTATGCCTCTTCCTGCTCCAGCTCTGCTCTTTCTTTCTTCGTCATTTCCACTTCACTTTGTTCTTCCTATCCGCAAGTCCTGTCAGGTCTGAGCCAGTTACCAGAGTAACAGACATTTTCTTCCATAAACTCGCTTTCTCTCTGACTAAATTTCCTTCCTCATTAAGTTGCTGTCACAGTGCATAATACTAGAGTGAATAAACAGAGTGAATTAATTTAATTTACCACATTTTCCGCACTATAAAGCGCACTTAAAATCCTTACATTTTCTCAAAAATCAACACTGCGCCTTGTAATTGGTGCGCCTTATGTATGAATTCTACTTGTGCTTACTGGCCTCAAACAGATTTTATGTGGTACACGGCACTCAAAAATCTCTCAAAAAATTTTTTAGTACAACTTTGGTAAGCTACAAAGCCGCTCCACTTGATGGATTGTCAGGAGTCCTGCGGAGTAATCTGTGTCCAAACCTCCGTCTGCTTCAGGTCCCAGAGCCAAATGAACACTGCGGCATCACTGAGAGTTAAAAACTGTCTAAATTCGTTCATTTATAATAAAATGATCAGCGTTGCTGCTTTACCAGGTGTGAATTGAGTTTAACATCCAGGCATGAAAACGGAATTTATTAAATTTAATGGAGTTAGAAGTTAGCAGGAAGTTAGCTCGCTAGTTTCTATCTAAACATGATATAGCATGTTCTGACTGAGAGATTTCTGAAAAAATTAAAACATACAGCTCTGCTATCACTTCCAACATAAATGAAAACAGAAAACTAAACAACAGTGATGTTTGCAGGGTTACTGAAGTTGCACTAGCTGGTATATAATGATATGCTACGTGATCGCTAGTGATACAGCTATGTTAGCATAATGCTAACTTTTTTCCACTCGATAAAAATCAAACGGACCATTAAACGGACCAAACTTCAGTCAGGAGAACAACTGAGATAATCTACCCACAATATGAGGTTAGTCATTAATATACTGCAACAACATGGAGCAGCTGCAACAGAATTCAACATTAATGAATCAATGGTACGGAAGTGGAGGAAGCAAGAAGAATGAGTTCAGTAAAGTTTGACTTATCTGACTGTTTTGTTTTGCTTAATGTGCCTCATAATCTGGTGCGCCTTATGTATGAAAACAGACCCGTTTAACGACAGTGCGCCTTATAATCCAGTGCGACTTCTGGTCCGAAAAATTTTAGTGAATTAAGTTTATGTTTTTACACATGCTTAAATCCTACTTAGACATTTGTTATTTTACCCCCTTAACCATCACCGCTTTATAATCAGTTGTCAATGTGAGAATGAAGACAGTGATTATGGTACATTTCTTATCAACTCAGGAAAAAACCTGGAAAAACTGGTCTCCATTTATTTAACTCTGTGACTCTGGGGACAGCACAGAAACATTAACTTATTTCTCTGGAAAAAATGTTGATATACTTTAGCAATCATTATTTAACTCTGTATAAAGCTTACGGCAGATAACACACTGATCAACAATCTGTCATTTGCCATACTGGATATCATTCACGTTGATTTAAAAAAGATAAGGCTGTCACAGTTGGGATCTTGGGGGTGAATATGTGAAATAAATCGAGTCGAATTGAGTTCAAGAATCTAAAACAGAACTAAATATGTAAGTGTTAAATTCAGCCTCTAGACACCCTGTGTTCTGAACATTTCACGGTGACAGTTGGTCACAGGCTGAGATGCAGTCGTTAAATTATGTAAACATATAGTGTCTGACATTCAGATTTAATGCGACATGACCATTCAAACAGCAGTCGCTTTCTAAAACACCAGAAATTTATTGGATTCAGTACCACATACGAAAGTGACCTAGGTCAGATTTGAAAATATCTGATTTTTTCTTTTCAAACTGTCATATCATAATCGGATATGGGTCGCATAGGGTCAAAAAGGTCAGATTTGATGCGCTTTCGCCTGCAGTGTGAACGTAGTCAAAGTGACTCTCTAAAATATTAAGTTTGGTAATAGGTGACCACAGAAAGTATAGTGTCTGTGATCATGAGCGGATCAAGCAATTTGAAATGACTCCTTTTTCCCTTCCTGTTTATTAAAAAAAATCTCATAGCCTATAGTGACCAGTATTAGAGCTCCATTAATGATGGTTTTCTTTCTCTACTCACGCATGCACTTAACTTGGGCTAAACATGTTCAGAGCTGATCTGCCGTTGTCCAACTGAAAACTCAGACTCGTGTTTGTTCTGTTTATTTAGGTGTAACCTTCCACCGATCTCAAAGGAATATGCGGAGGATGTGGGCACAAAGACACATCTGGTTACAGCCAACCCAAGCATCATAGAGAAAAGGTAAACAAGTTGGAAACTGCACCACTG